TATGCCACTAGTGTTTCAAAAATCAGCCAACTCACTTGTTATTCTTGTTATGTGCCATCAAGTCAGTTCAAACTCATAGTGACCCTGTCTGTGTAGGGTTTCTGAGGGGCGGCTGGTGGGTTTGAACTGCCAGTTCGCAGTTCACATAGACCTTATGGTCCAGTGCTTATCCTATAGCACCACACTAGGACAGATTTTAATGGAGGTTCCAGACTAGGAAGAAGCACCTTGAAATCTACTTCCAAAAACTAACTAATGAAAACCTTATAGTAGACTGTTGACTGATGTTGTACTGGAAGATGAGCATCCTCGCTAGGAAGTTACTACACAAAACAGCCACAACTACAACCCAAATGCAGCGATGGTGTGGGACCAGGCAGTGTTTCATTCTATTATACGTCAGGTTAACATGAGTCAGAGCCAACTCTACAGCAGCTAACATCAACAGAGATGGCCTCAGAGCTGTGTCTTTTCAATGTTCAAACTTCCAGATGAACGTTGGAAAATGAGGAGAAAACACATGTGTCTCCAGTTGATTTCTGACGATAAAAGTAATGCGTACTCATCATAGGAATCTTGAGAGACAAGAAAAAGTATAAAACAGAAAAAATGTCACCTCAGATGCCACAAATGAACGCTACCATTGTCATCATACAGGTGTATGTCTTTTGTCTTCCTGTACATCTCTCCTTCTTCGGCTGTGTTGTTGTTGTTAAGTGCTGTCAAGTCAATTCTGACTCACAGCAACCCTGTATAGGGTTTCCAGGAAAGCAACTGGTGAGTTTGAACTGCCAACCTTGCTGTTCAAACCGACCTTGCGGTTCAGCACATTATCCTACAGTGCCACACTGTTCTGCACTTTCACAAGGAAGATTTTGTTGAACTCACTATTTTAACCATTAAAGTTTACTTTTTGTGACTATTTAGCTATTCACATTTACTATGAAAATGACAAAGGCATAAATCACATAGTAACATTTGGTGGAAAATGTAGAAACTCAGATCCATGATCTTAAAAATGGTCAAAGAAATAGTATGTTTCATAACACAATTGAAAACTGCCCCCCTCACAGAGGTAGAAAGCCATCTATGTAAGCCTAGTCCAGGATTTCAGTGAATCACAGAGTATTTTTTTTAACTGAAAATCCTCTGCAGCAGCAGCAGCAGCAGCAACAGCAACATGGCAGAACTGTTGACTACTCTTTCTAGAAACTTCTATTGCAGATGATGGTTTTTCAGTTCCCTCACCACTAGCACCTCTGAATGAGGCGTGAATCTGCTTTGCTGATCCCTGCAGATTTTTACCATTTCTGTCCTCCTCTGTGGAAGAAACCTTGGAGGAACCTCTGCCAAATCTTTCCTCTCCCTATAGCAGACATTTTAAAATAGGGTGAACAAAAATATATCAATAAAATTAAGCAGGGCAAACAGAGGTACTTAGAACAAAGGGCTTCCTCATAGCAAAAACAGTTTTGCTGGTCAGGAAACCCTACACAGGGTCCCTAAGGATCAGAACTGACTGGAAGGCACTTAACAACAAAGAGTCTTTTATCTTTCTACATTGTGACATTATTTTAGGTCATTGATGAGATACACCACTACTTTTCAATCAAATGTCAATGTATCTCGACTTGATGTTCTGCTTCCTGCAAGAGTTGCTGGTAGCAGTTGGGTCCATATGTTCTTAGTTCTGAAGCTTGCTCTTCAGTGGAAGAACACAAGTCCTTGGCTCTATATTATTTGAGGGCTTTGGGCCAGGCAGAGAAAGAAGAAACTTGTGGGCAAAATTTCCTCCCCACAGTTCTTGAGTTTAGCCCTGGGTCTGGCTGTAAGAATGATTTTTTTGTGAAGTAGAAATGGGTGAAATTTTCCTTGGAAGTCCCTTATCTTCCTAATGCTTGTTGTCTTAGAATCTCTTGCCAGGAACACTGACTTAACAGCAACCTGAGGAATAGCACATAACCTACTGACCCAGTTCCAGTAATCAGGTATTCAGAGCAATTCGAACTCAGGTTATTGCCAGTCACATTGATGAAGAAGCTGGTTAAAAAATGTATCAGGACTGACTTGCTCTTCATCAGGCACCTCATGGCCACCCCTCCAAATGAACAGAGGTGTCGATGAAGCCTCAGAATGAAATGACACTCCCCGCTCCCACCAGTGCTAACCTGGGTAGAAAATGGGGAGCAACTGGTTGGTGCTCGTGAAAGCTCATTCCACACAATCCTGGCTCTCCTCTGGTCAGTCAGACGCAAATCAAGGCCACCAGGTACCCCTGGCTATTGTATAGAATTAACATGCTCAGTTGCTAATCAAAAGTTGAAAGTTCAAGTCCACCCTGAGTCACCTTGGGAGACAAGCCTAGCAGTCTACTTCTGAAAAATCAATCATAGACAACTGTATGGACACACTTGGAGTCAACTCAATGAGAACTGGTTTACTAGTTAGCTTAGGCATAGCCAGTCCACTGCTGTGGAGTTGATTCCAATGTGAAACGTAGGCATTCAGCTTAATATCAAGTATATCTCCATTGGCTTATGTTGGCCAATGCCATCTAAATATAGAGAAACACTCCTTTTGTTCCCTCTCTGTTGTTAAATCCCTGTTCTCGTTAGCAGAAAGAGATGTTTAGTAGATACAGGGAATTTATTTTTTCTTCTAATCATAGTATTAAAACAAGGAGCAGTGGTCATACTTTACTGTCTTCAGGATTTGCTCCATGACACCACAGGTGCAATCACTGTGCATCGTCCATTGTTCAACTCTCAGTGTACAGCAACAATCCCAGCAAAGTCTGTGGAATTTAAAACCGCAAATAAAGATGCTTTTTGTGTATTCACATCCTTTGGTAAATACCAGTTTCCTCACAAAATACTTCCACCTCCCCACCCCCACCCCCCAAAAAAGCCAAAAAGACTAATCAGTGGTCCTGAATGGATTGCACTTGGGCTTCAGACCTCAGTTCACATGTCACTTGCTCAGAGAGACCTCTCCTGAGCCTGCAGCAGCAGTGACTGGATGTCATTACTTCTCCTACTTTCCCTCCACAGAATTTACCAGCATTTGTAAATGTGCTTGTTGATTTCACTTTATTTGCTTTAAATCGTGTTTCCAGCAAGACTCAATGTGGCTAGAGACTGTTTTATCTCTGTTGGGTCTCCATAATTTAATTCAGCACCTGGCTATTGGGAGACTTCATAAATGTTTGTGGAAGAGAGTAAGGAGAAATCTTGGATGCGCCTGAAACATGACATCAGGAAGCAGCTTTAATTCCCACAGCCCTTTATCCATGCTATTTGCATAAGACTTGTTACACTGTGAAGATGACTTTCAGAAGAGTCCACTTTACCTGCCAAGTTGAGACCACATCCCTCTCCTCTGAGTTCCCATTCATGACTGTGAGCTCGGGAATCTTTTGATACAACTGGATGGAGTTTCCAATGTTGAGTTGACTCTGAGGTGGTCATTAGACTTCTTCTTGCCTGCTTTGTCTGAAGGGTTTTCCTTTTTCTGTGCCTTGTTCTCTGCCCTCTTGTGAGAGTTGGAGCACCTGCTACACCCTTTACTTTCTGTGACTACCCCTGCATGTTCCAGATGGAAGGCACTGCACTTTCCACTTGTGTTGTTCTCTTACAATGTGAGGAGCTCTAGTAGCATAATGGTTACAAATTGGGCTGTGAACTGCAAGGTCAGCAGTTTGAAACTACCAGCTGTTCCACTGGCGAAAGTTGAGGCTTTCTGCTCCCGTAAAGATTTGCAGCCTCGGAAACCCTGTACAGGGTCGCTATGAGTCGGAACTGACTCCACGGCACACAACAACAACTTACAACGTGATGCACATCATCTTGTCTGTTTTCCATCTGGTGGCCCCAGAATTTGGGTAGGGATAGTTACGTCATTACCTTTTCGCTGGTGATGGGCACCCAAAATAAAGCTCAAGATTAAGTTGTCCTGTAAAGGTAGAAGTTTTGTAACAAAAAGGGGGAAGTAGTTAATCTTACAGTCCAGGAAAAGAGGACCCTAGGACTATCAAGGAAGAAAATCATGAGCAGAATATGAAACCCTATCCAGAGAAGCAGCAACACCAGAGATGGAGGCAGAGATGAGGACATGGAGAGAGAGAGAGAGAGAGAGCAGCTGAGGACTCTAGACTCGTGGAAAGAGAAAGACTGAGAGCTGGCAGCCAGGAGATAGGCTTGCAAAGTGTGCCCTTTGATTGCTTAAAAGATTATATACTCCTGAGTGTTTTTGTGTATATCTCCCCATCCCCCCAAAAAACAAAACAACAGAGGAAATAGAATCAAATTCTGTTTAATGATGATGCCTGGAGGAGATTGTCATCATTGCAGTGAAACCATGGGTGTAAAACCGGTGTTCTCCCATGTAAACTAGCATTCAATTCACAATAAAAACTTAAAAAAAAAAAAAAAAGATTAAGTTACCTTAGAGTTGACTCTGACTTATAGAGACCTCATGTATACCAGAATAGAAATTTGGTAGGGTTTTCGATAATCTGGTTTTTAAGAAGTAGATTACCAGACCTTTCTTCCAAGTTGTCTTTATTTTAATGTGTTGTTCAACAAGAATATTTCTTCCAAATATAGCTCTGGGTATACTCAAGCCTCCAACTTTTTAGTTAGCAGTCAAGTGTGTTAACCATTTTAACCACCCAGGAAGCTCAAGAGTACATGACCTATAAGTTATAGAGCTAGAACTAGTACCAAAGGGTTCCAGTGTCTTCTCTACCTTTTATTTAATGTAGAAATTCAAGGCCATTACCTGAATTACCTGAAGCGAATCCAGGTGTTACCCTCACATAAGTGATCTTATCCCATCAAAACCCATCATGCTGTGCTCTGGTCAACTAGCAGCTTGTTTCATTCGGACTTCCATATATGGCAGCCCCCTCACCCCACACCACATCCCAGCATTATGTAACTACTTTTGTAGAATGCCATGATGCTCTGCCACATTGGATTCTCTCTTGTGTTTGTATTCAGGATCGGCTATTTTTTGTCATGGAGTTTGTGAATGGGGGTGATCTGATGTTCCACATTCAGAAGTCTCGTCGCTTTGATGAACCTCGAGCTCGTTTCTATGCTGCAGAAATCATTTCAGCGCTCATGTTCTTACATGAGAAAGGAATCATCTATAGGTGAGTTTTGGTTGCTGAACCACTCCCCTCCCCACAACATCATAATTCATCCCATGCCCAAGTTCCTTACTGGATCTTTCCATGTCTCATGATAGTCACTTAAAACTTTGATATTAAATTCTCAAAGGTTTTAAGTGTTCATTAGACTAAATGAAAAACCTAGCAATGAATACTATCTCTAAACTAACACTTGTCTAATTTGGCATTTGTCAAATGGTCCTGAGAGACTATTCATGAGTTTAATCAGCTGGGATTTGTCGAAGCCACGTTACATGTCACGTCTTGCTTAGTGATGACCACATGGTTGGTTTCTTTTCTCTCTTTTAACATTTGAAGTGAATCAGTTAATCAGGGATCGATTTCATTTTAAGAGTCCATACCTAAACCGTACATGTGGGTAACCATGATAGTTACCTGATATTGAGTCAATCCCCAACTCATGGTGACCCCATGCATAAGGGAACCAAATGCTACTGGGTCTGGTGCCATTCCCATGATCAGTATGGATTGAACTATTGTGATTTACATAAGAATTTCATTGGTTGGTTTTTGGAAGTAGACTGCCAGACCTTTCTATTCAGTCTGACTTAGTCTAAAAAAAAAGTACCATTGAAACCAGTCAGCATCATAGCAACTTGAAAGCCTCCCCTAACAGATGGGTGGTGGCTCTGCATGCAGAGCATTGGCTGGGATTTTTGGAACCTGTCTCTTGCCTGGTCAGTGAGAAGTCTACCATTGAATCACTACTATCCCCTACCATTGCTCTAAGAAATAATCACTGTCTAATGGGGTGCGGTTCACCAGTCAAGGAGTTAAAAGAACTGTCAATAACAGTGTCCTGCTTTATGAGATTTGTCATTTGTAGTCCCCCAAATATCTCTTGATTCCATTTCATGGCACATGACATACTATTCTTCACATGCACTCAAAGTCTGGTGGATGTTAGATCTCAGGATTCAACAGAGACCAGATGAAACATTCATCAGAGAGAAGGTTGGGCAAAGTGGGGGATGTGACAGCCAATGATGGACAATTCAATTTAATTCTTAAATTTTCTTTCTTTTATTCTTGTTGCCAACGTCCTCCTACTCTTCAAATCACATTATCATTTAGTTGCAACATACATGCTTCTTTTTTTCTTGAGATATAATTGTTGCTTTCCCTGAAGAGGAGAGGGTCTTCTTTATATATTGAGAGCATCAATGCCAGTGTTAAGAATTTCCTGATTGAAATTTGCTGTTTTTTAGCCTTAATAAATGCCACTCCTTTTGTGAGTTCATGACAACATTATCATCATGATTAAAATATAAGAGAGCCTTTAAAAGAGTGAATATCATTAAATACCATGGGAGTCAGAATAGGAAGAGAAAGCAACAGGACTAGTAGACAATGGCAGCAAGAAGTGCGAAAGCAAAGGAGGCATAGTTGACTCTCAGTGCAGAACTGTAAAACGTCAACTTGCTGTACCACTTTCATCGTAGACCAAAGATACACTGTAAGGTAGGAAGAGGGATGCAGAGCAGTGGGAGTCAGCTCCTGGCAGGTTACTAGGAGTTTTCATTTACTCTGATATGTGGGGTTGCTGCATGATGCTTTAGGTGACCTTTGCCTTGGGCTTTCTTTACCTGGCTAGGGTGTCCTCCTGGTAGCTCTATCCAGGGATTTGTCCAATCCCAGCATTCTCGCAGCACATGACTTGGGGGGTGGTACAATCTCTGATGTCCTTCCTGGTAGTGGTATCTGAGCAGTGGGCTCCCCCTTTGTCCTTTTCTCCCTGGCTTATCCATTCACCTCGCTTCTGCTTACCCAAACAGAGCCTTAGCCACGTTTAGTTAAGCTCAGTGACTTCCTATTTAGTAGAAACTTAGGTTGTAAATCATAATACTAATATTAACAGCAACAACATGAGCTAAACTGTATGCATGCTACGGGTCCAGCATTTCCCCTGCATTTCTCTCTGACCCGCCTCCCAATACTATTACATAACAGTAATAGTATTCTCACTGTTTAAAAGGTTTATTAACCAGACTACTAGCTGGTAGTGAAGCCAAGATTCATTTTAGCCACTACATTGTCTCCTTAGGACAGACTTGAAGCTCTGTCTTAGTACAGAAAAGTCAAATTTATACTTCTTTGGTGGAATTTAAAAAAAAAAAAAAAAAGAAAAAATTTTTGCCATTAAGTCATTTATGATTCATGGCAACCCCGTGTACGTTGGAGTAGAACTGTGCTCCACACCATTTTAAAAAATGGATTTTCTTCAGAGGCAGCTCTAAACCACCAGACGTTTGGTTAGCAGTGAAACATTTAACCATCTGTACCATCAATGGTCAGTCACCTTTTTGGGAATTGTTACTGTAAAGGGCCGTCGAGTCGGTTCCAACTAATAACCACCCTGTGGAGGGTTTCTGAAGAACAGCTGGTGGATTTGAACCACCCACCTTGTGGTTAGCAGTCCATTGCTGATCCTACAGCACTGCACCAGGACTCCTTTTTGGGACTAGGACGTTAATTCATGAAAATGAATCAAAGTGAGAAAAAGTGGTATCTTTTTCTGTATAACCTGATAGTTTCTAATCAGCTTACATCTCGAGGTTTATTTCAATTCTTGGTATCTATGACTCAATTCTGAGAATTGATTTAAATTACTCTTCAAATTGAATCCCGTTTTCAGACTGGTTCAACAGATATGGTTGACTTTGAAGGGAACACATTTAATTAGGATGGATTCAAGTGCTATTTTTATCCTGTGGATTGATTTCCACTGGATAATTTAATTCCATGCAGAGTACTGGCTTGGGAGCTAAGTCTTAAGGATAAGCCTTTGAAAGCCAAGTCTTTGGAATGCACACACAATGAAGGGCATATTGTGGTCACAGAGTGGTGTGGAGTTAATACAGGAAGTCCAGTTAGAAATTAGGAGCTTCAGAGAGCCTGGTTAGTCAGATAAATCTATGGACAGCCTTTATCAGAGTTAAAATTTTCTCCCTACAAGATGCCTCTAACCTATGCAGAGAGAGTTGTTTATTTGGGGTTTTGTTTGGTGGTGGTGGGCATGGGAAGAGGGATGTTTTCCAACAAATTACAAAGATGGTACCATCAGCAGGTCATTACCAATCAAGGAGGACGTTAGAAGACCCTAGTGCTTTAGACTTCCTCTGATGTGAATTTCTTTTCTCTGTTAGGTGATTTGTGTGAAAAGAGACAAGTCAGTTACATTGATGGACTTTTCAGCTTGTTTCTGACCCTGATTCTCAGATATATTTCTTGAATTTTATGAAGGAAGAATCCAGTTCCCATGAGATACAGCAGAAGAGTCTGCCCCTTTGCCTTTGGGTCTGGAGGCTGCCCTGGCCCAGAACTGCCAAACAGGCAGTCAATGAGGCAGTATCTCTAAGGGAAATAAAGACTGTTCATTCCTTTGCCCTGGGTTTGTTGGCTGATGAAGAGTCCAGATAGAGCTCATGAATCATTTACTCATGGCATTGACTGTTTTCCTGAATCAAGCCTTCCAGAAAAGTTAGGCTAACAAATGTAAGGCCTTTTACCTGCCCACAGGCATTGCAGGCACCATTTTCTACCAAGTTTCATAAACTGTATTAAAGGAGAATTCAGCCATCGTTGACATCTCAACCCAAAGTCATAAAGTGAGCGCAGTTTTGATTTGTTGTTCTTGACAAAGCATAGAATGTATCTAACGTGTGTTGGGTGGATTAAAGCTATGGAAGGGCACTGTTTAAATTTTGGTTCCCTTTTACCATGGTGTACTTGAACACACAGCTCATTTCAATACATGCTCGGCCTTCTCAACTTAAGATTCTGACCACTCTGTGTCTTGTGCAATTCTTGGCATGCTGGGTACATTGTAATAAGAATTTATTCCTGAAGCTTCAATTACTTACTGTGGTAGTTCACATTCTCATTTTTCAGACATGGAAGTGGCTCACAGAAACTGTGGTTTTGCCATATAATGGTCTTTGCCAAACCAAACTTACTGTCTTGTATCCTATGCTTATGTTACACATTAGCTTTTAAGGTAAATCACCTTTGATAGCTCCTCACATTGAAAGAAACAGCTCTCCTAATTTGAGTTTTACTTGAATTGAAACTTTGGAATGATTAGCAATCTCCCTCAGCTGTAAGATCTGGTCAGATAATTTTTAGGCACAGTTGTTGGATCTGTGTCAGTATATTGGTCTCGACAACCATCTAACTCTTGTTTCACAAGACTGACATTCCAGGTACCTGTGTGATCTCAAGTGAGCTGAGATCACTTTGCTTGGGGAACCCTTGCTGAGGTCACTTCCTGTGAGCATTGCTTCCTTAGCTAACAATTCGTAAATCATCTGTTTCCAAATCAGGATGGGTTATGAGTCTGTGGTGGACATTACACTTGAGCCATTCCCTTACTTGAAAATTGTGGCAGCATCTGTTTGATTCCCATATCCAAGTTGTCTCTTACTCTTAGCTGTTTCTCATCAGCATCCTTTCAGAGTCCCTAAGTCTCTTTCATTTAAACCTGGTTTCTTGCGATTGCCTCATCTATGTTAGAATTAAAGTCCATGCTTACTCTGGGGGGGGAGAGGGAGTGGATAGAACTATAAGGACTGTAATAGTACTGTAGCCTAATATTGTCACTATGGTAGAAGATAAGGGTAGAAGTTGTCAGAACGCAACTGATAAAAGACTTAACTACAAGAGATGTTTGAATTCTGTCTCATTTAGGATTTGGCAATGTTATCCATCTCAGGAAACACAAAATGACAGTGACTAAAACCGCTCTCCCTCATGGTTTTGGGTTTTTTTTTTTTTAAAGTCTAGGGGTAGAAAGGCCATGAAGTAGGAAGGCCATGTCTACCATGGGCGGTCCATGAAGCTATCTGGATTCAGACTCGTATAATTTCTTTTCTGTCTATTCAGGGTCATCTCATGGTTTTAGATGGTTGTTGAAGTCTAGAAGTCATCTCCATATTCTTGTTCCTGAAAGTAAAAAGGGTGAA